TGTGCTAATGAGTCAGATGGCTGGCAATTTATTAAAGTACCCAAATCTAACCTAGAATGTACTGTGTCTGGGCTGCTTCCCCACACAGGCTACAGGTTCAGATACAAGGCAGTGTGTCCAGCAGGTGTCAGTCTAACCAGTGAAGCTGACAGCATTAAAACTTTGCCCACAAGTCCTCCTGGGAAGCCAAAACAAACATATGTAGGCTCAGAGGAGATTGTAGTTACTTGGACAAAACCTGATTCAATTGGCCATGGTGTCAACATTGAAAACTATGCTGTTGAATACAGAACTGAAGCAAATGAAAATAAGGCAGACTGGGAAAAAAAGACTAGTAAAGGTGAAGTCTGTAAAATTACTGGGTTACAGCCAGACACAGCATATTCTATTAGAATCATGTGCAATTGTGGTGAATTTGGTCAAAGCAAAGAAAGTCTGACAGTCTCCATTTCAACATTGTCAGAAACCTCAACAGTAGCTGAAAAGATAAAACGAAAGAGTGAATGTCTTAGCCAACTTGGCTTCAGTGACCTTTTTCCCAAAAAGATTAAACTGAATGATATTCTTGTTATAGACCATTTATCTATGGATCTAAATGAACCAGATACAGTAGAAGACCTGAAGAGTCAATATCTGTATAAGCTCATGATTTTAGATTACAATGCCAGATATCTCTCATTTAAACCAGTAGCACCTGATCCACCTCTAGAAGATGATGGTACAAACTTTGATGATTTTGATTTTTTTAATACAAATGAAGAATCAACCAGAGGAGCAGATCTGGCAGGCACAGAGTCGCACATCCATCCCATGGATATCCACATGGCGATCTTCCACTGTGCCAATGACTTTCTAAGACAGTACATGTACACAAAACTCTCTGCCTGCCAGTTTGCACTACCTTTCTTAGTTCCCAACCCGTGTACAGAAGACCTGGAATTCCCTCTTTGGCCTCTAAGGCATATCAAAAAATCATGGCAAAGTATGACAAGCGCAGACAACCCTGGAAAATACCAAACCAGGCAAATGTTTAGCACACCAGTGCCAGTTGTGTCTTTTTTAAGGTTGGGAACCTCTTTCACCTCCAAATCTCAAATTCTGAATTCTGTCATTAGCAAACAGAGACACAATGTGTTCTTCAATCGGCACTGTAAAGGCAGTGCTCCAAACAGCATGCTTATGAATGGGGTTGTCGAGATCGCCTGGTACTGTCCAG